GACCCGGTCCGTCTGTCAGTTGGTCTAGGGCACCCCCTAGCCCCGTCCCACCTGCTCTCCCCTCCCCTCCTCCCCCAATGAACCGCAGCCCTGCTCCCCCCTCAAGCCGCTCCCTGACCTCGCTCCGCCAGGCTGCGGGGAACGGGGCGCTGCAGATCGGGCGCCAATGCCCAGGACCCCCGAGTTGGGAGCGAGCAAGCGCAGTGCGGCCTTGCTGGGGCAGCGGGTCTGGGGACGGAGCAGTTCCAGGCTGAGCATCTCCAGTGGCGCCAGCTCTTGGGACTGGCCGGTGAACCTTGTGCTGTTTGGAGGGCAGGATCTGCCCAGCCCCAGCTCCCGGAGTCATGTGATTTCACGAGACTCTCCGCTTGCATTTTTGGAAATAAAAGGCCCATTTCTAGCCCTGGTGGTTCCAGGGAAAAGCTTGAAAGCGTGGGGCCAGCACCACCCAGCTTGGGTGGCAAACAGGCATGGGATGGGGCCTTGCTCCTGCCAGGGATCCCAGGCGCTAGCTCTGTGCAGGGAGCGTGGCTAAGAGCATGGTAACTCACGGACCCTTCCCTCCAGCTCTGATCCCCCCCCCCGCCCAGTGCAATTCCTTGGAAAGCTTCTGTTGTGGTTCCAGGGCAGACTGAAAACAAATTTCAAAACCTGCTGAGAGGTAACAGTATCCTCCAGCGCCGCCACCCCTCTGCAAACCGGCCCTTGCCTGCCCAAACAGCCCTGTGCTCACCGGGGCATGGTAACTCACGGACCCTTCCCTCCAGCTCTGATCCCCCCCCCCGCCCAGTGCAATTCCTTGGAAAGCTTCTGTTGTGGTTCCAGGGCAGACTGAAAACAAATTTCAAAACCTGCTGAGAGGTAACAGTATCCTCCAGCGCCGCCACCCCTCTGCAAACCGGCCCTTGCCTGCCCAAACAGCCCTGTGCTCACCGGGGGCGTATTCTCCACCCTGTGCCAATCGCCCCAGTGGCTGAGCGGGTCCCCCCAAAGGACGCCGCCAAGCTTGGCCACCAGAGGGCGACGAGGGCCCAGCCGTGTCCTCTGGGGCCCGTTGGATGTGGGGCAGGGAGACCAGGGGGCATTTCCCACCGAGGCGCAGCCTGAGAGGGGGCCGTGAGAAAGGCCTGCCCCGTGCCGCCCCGAGGGGGCTGCGTGTGGGCCGCAGAGGGAAGTGGCCTCGGGGGCGAGAGGGCAGGGGGAGGGTCCAGGAGCTAGGACAGGGATAGCCAAGCCTCGGCCTCCAGTGAGGGAGAATAGTGCCCCGTCCTGGGGCGAGGACAGGCCAGCACACGGCACCAGAGCCTGGCAAACGGGGCCCGTTCTGTAGCTCCTCTGCTTTGTGCCACCCGCCTCCTCTGCCAGACGTGGCTTGCAAACAACGTGTGTGCGTGTTTGTGCGCACTCGCAATGGCTGCTCGTCCCCACGCACAGTGTACGTGTGTCTGTGAAGCCTGAAGCCAGGAGAGGGGTGTGTTTGTGTGTGTGTGTGCCGCGCGCATGCAATGGCTGCTGGTCCCCAAACAGTGTGTGTGTGTGTGTGTGAAGCCTGAAGCCAGGAGAGGGGGCTTTGTGAGCCAGGAGAGGGAGCTTTGTGTGTGTGTGTGTGTGTGTGAGTGTGTGTGTGCACGCAATGGCTGCTGGTCCCCATGCACAGTGTGTGTGTGAAGCATGAAGCCTGGAGGGTGTGTGTGTGTGTTGTGTGTGTGTGTGTGTGTGTGTAAAGCGAGGAGAGGGG